AACATCAAGATGGGATTAGAAACTGTAAAAACCAAGAATGGTAAGTTCATGGGTATTAAGTAGACAGTGTAAGGAAAAAAAGGCAAGTATCTACATCTACCTAAAATTCAATAATCTTCTTAACAAAATGAACATACTTCATACCTTCACTTTTGGATGTGTATAAACCTGTTCTATACGAGATAAGCACGAGTGGCAAACATTTTGTGGATGGTAAGGTCTAGTAAATTACGCAGCCAACATGAAAACTACATATTCAGGAAAAAAAACTAAACGAAATAACGAGTATAAGACCCGGAATCAAACCGGAACCCGATTCAACTAATAGAGGTAGTCAGTTTGACAATTCATACGAAAATAAACCGGACCCACACACAATTCATCCTTAACCAAGGAGAACAATCCACAGTAAAAAGGCATAAAAGAAATAGAACATAGCAGCAAAATGTGAACCGAAGGGCTTGACCCGCGACCCCTCTAACTCACCTCTAGTGCGCGGCTGGTTCAATAGTGGAGGTTAGGTTGAGATTTAGGGATGGCCACGATGGTGGCCAGGGAGGCGGTGGTGATGAGTGGGGTTTGGTGGAGGTTGGATTAGGGTGAGGGCTGACTTGGGGGGAGCAGTGAGGGGGCTAGGGCTCGCCGGGAGTGAGGAGGAGATATTGGCCGTGGGATTTGGAAGGTTAAGAGGAATGGGTGAGTGAGGCGCGAGAGTGAGGGTTATTTGGGGATAAGTGGGGCGACTGGGATGTAGATGGTAATGAAAAATGTGGTTGTATATGATAGCGGTTCCACTGGAACCGCTCTTAAAAGTGAACATCTAATAGTGGTTAAACCTTAACCGCTATCTAAAATATATTTTAGATAGCGGTTAACGTGGAACCGCTATTATATATTTTCAAATATGATCGATCATTTGAAAATTTAATCGATCATAATCAAAAAATGTGGTTGTATATGATAGAGGTTCCACTGGAACCGCTCTTAAAAGTGAATTTCTAATAGCGGTTAAACCTTAACCGCTATCTAAAATATATTTTAGATAGCGGTTATCGTGGAACCACTATTATATATTTTCAAATATGATCGATCATTTCAAAATATAATCGATCATAATGAAAACTTACATTAACTATTTTTTTGAATATTATGTTTTTAAATTTGCTATTAGAGAAAACGTTTCAGAATTCAAAATGTTAAATATTTTTAAATATTAAAATTAACTTTATAAAAAATTAGGAAAAAAAATCCAAAAGAGTTCAAAAATGTATTATAATATTGTCAATTTTGAGTTTAATTATATTTTTCATTCTCAAAGTAGAAAAATATATTGTAATTATTTTAATTTAGTAAAATATAATTTAAATTTTTAATACTAAAATTAAAAGATTAAATAATAATAAATTTAATTCTTTAAATTTAGTATTTAGAAACTAAAATTATAGTTTCTCTTGTTTTAAAAAATTAAAATAAATATTTAAAAATAAAAATCAAAACTAGTATTATCTTAAATTTATTAAAAGTATAATTAAATCTCTATTTTCTTAATTTTTTTTGTTTTAAACTTCTCAATTCTACATTTTTGTAAATTCTATCATTATATTATCATCCTCATCTCCTCCCATGTTCTACTTTATCTTTACAATAGTTAATATTCTTAAATAATTTATATTTTTATTTATAATTTTTTAATATATATTTGAGAAATTAATCAATTATAATCTATTATTTGACAAACTAATCAATTCTAATTAATTATTTAGAAAAGTAATCGATTATAATTAATTATTTGAAAAAATTATCAAATATGATCGATCATTTGAAAATTTAATCGATCATAATAAAAAAATGTGGTTGTATATGATAGCGGTTCCACTGGAACCGCTCTTAAAAGTGAACATCTAATAGCGGTTAAACCTTAACCGCTATCTAACTATATTTTAGATAGCGGTTCACTTGGAACTGCTATTATATGTTCACTTTTAAGAGCGGTGAAAATATTAACCGCTCTTAAAAGTGACAAATATTTTATTTATTTATTGACACATTTTTGCATCAGATATCGCTCGAGCGAGACCAGTGTCGCTCAAGCGAAATACAACCCGAGAATGCCAATTTTGTGCAGGTGGCGTCGCTCGAGTGATGTTATTTTCGCTTGAGCGAATGTTGACCTGCGAAATACAGACCACTGTCTTTTTGCCTTTGTTCATCTTAGTCTACAATTTTCATGAATTTATTGCTGAATAATTGGTTCGTTAGCTGTTTAATTTGTAAATAGTTTGTTATGAAAGTGGTGTTGAAAGTGTTTTTCCACTTGTTGGGTTACAATATACAAATCTGGTCGACAATAGTTTAATGAAATAATATATTTATTATCTAATGTATATTGATATAAAATTTTTTTGGTATATCAATTATATGACAACAACCATGATTAAGTAATTAATAATAATAAAGCAATAAATTTAAAAATTAGATTAAAAATAAAGTATTATAAAATAAAATTGTAATAATTTGATTAAAATTGTATTTTTTTAATTAATTAAGTTAATGAGGAATTAAAATGTGATAATTTGATGTGTTTAATTTTTTTAATATAAATTTTTAAAATATAATTTAATTTCAATTGAAAAATAAATTCAAGAATATTTGTTATTAAACTTTTCTTAAACAATGTATTGAATAGTTAAGATCACTCTAGTCTTAATTTATTACAATTTAAATTTTTAATAAATTTGATTTATTACAATTCATTTTGTTAATATTGAGACCAAAGTTTATTTTTAAAGTATATTTTAAAAATTTATTTATTTTTAAAAAATAAATTACTTTTAAAAAATAAATTGTAAAAAATATACTAAAACAATTAAAGTATATTTATAAAAAAATAAATTTAAATATAATAAAAAAATAATATTCATTAGCGATCGATTTCAATTCGATCGCTATTTTCTCATTAGCAACCGATTTTAATTCGGTAACTATTTCAATTTGTAATTCGATCGCTAAATCGGTCGCTAAATGAAATTTTGCGACGCAAAATATTGGTTGCTATTTCGGTCGCTAAATAAAAAAGTGAAAACCAAATCATATTTTGGTCGCTAAATCGGTCGCTAAATGCGACCGAATTAAAGTGGTCGCTGAATCGGTCGCTAATTGCGACCGAATTAAAATGGTCGCTAAATCGGTCGCTAATTGCGACCAAAATTAAATCGGTCGCTAATTGCGACCGAAAAAATTCGGTCGCTAATTTCGATAGCTAAATGTGTTTTTTCTTGTAGTGGTAGCTTAGTGGTTGGAGTATCAGCCTCAAACTCTTAGGTACTGGGTTCGAATCTTGCTAGTGACAATTCTCTTAATCTGATAATAATTCAAATCCCTAAAAAATATAATATTAAAAGGGATAGGAGATCTCTAGATAAATAGGATAATTAGAGAGGGATTATAAATAAATAAATAAAAATATTAGACTTTCTACATTGGTTCTAGAGCCGATGTTAAAAGCCTCTGGAAACTGATGTTAAAAGCCTATTTTCTACTAGTGCTTATCTCTTTCTCTTTTCCTCATTATATTATCGCTTCCGCTTTATCTGTGTTCAAACAAATTATTAACTCACAAATAAATTTTTAATTTGTGCATCTATTCACCTCTTCTAGATGATATTTGTCTAACAAGAATTATACTCACGTATATAGTATAATATTATCATATATATAGTCGACATGAGATTTCTAAACATTTTTTACCTTTCAATCTAATTTGTAATTTTATAGTTTTCAAATAAATATACTCGATTGAATGTATTATTTTGATAGGGTGTTGTTGACCTATTTTGATACATATTGAAAACTATATACTATTAAAATGTACCACATTGATTTAGTTTTTTTATGGTTTTTATTGATTATATGCAATTGTTAAATATTAAAGATTTGAAAAAATGGATCAACTCATTACTAACTATTTAATCTACAGATTAAGTGAGTTAGACTCGCTATAACCAAACCACTACCTGTCTAATCTACGAGTTAAGTAAGTTAGACTTGCTTTAACCAAATTTAAAAAAAAATTTAAAGGTTTTCAACCAAACCCAACTCAAATCCATAATAAGTTGAATTGGTTAAGAGACTTATATTCACAGCCCTACTTTTTACTTATTCATGTCATGTCATACATTAGTAAGATATCACATAATTAAGTCTCTTTATCTGGACTAGACCCTAACTCTCACTCTATTAATAAATGTGGATATAAATAATCAAGTTCAAATTATATCAACAAATATTGAATTCTGATTTAACAAAAAATAAAAAAACAAACTACGCACACTTTTGTTAATAGATCATTCTCTTTTATTTTAATCCAATATTATATTGTTATTGTTAGCTAATTTCTTTAGCGTTCTAATCATATTAATTATGTTAGATTATATCAAAATTTAATATGGTTTATAAATGCTAAATTTATCTTATATAATTTGTTTTGTCTAATATTTAGATGAAAATTTTGAGATTGATGGCACTTTGGATAGAAGTTTAGATTGGATCAGTGGAATGAAAAATATTAAACGGAAAGACATTCCAAGCTTCATTAGAGTCACTACTTGGATGACATTAAGTTTGACTTCTTGGGTTCTGAGGCACGAAATTGTTTGAAATCATCTTCAATTATCATTAACACATTTCAAGAGTTGGATGGAGAAGCCCTTGATACCCTTAGAGCCCCAAGAACGCGAACATTTATACCATTGGTCCACTTGACTTGCTTGGTAGGCATTTTCTTGTAAAAGAAAAGGGCTTCATATCAGTTGGGTCAAGTTTATGAAAAATGATTAAAACTGCTTAACATGTTAGATATATGAGAACCCAACTCGGTCGTATATGTTAATTATGGAAGTATAACAGTAATGACAAATCATACTTGGAAGAATTTGCATGGGGATAGTGGAAAATAGCAAGCTACCTTTCTTATGGATAATAAGGCCAGATGTAGTATAATAATGGATGATTCTGTAGCTTTACCACAAGAGTTCTTTGATGAGATCAAGGATAGGGGATACATAGCAAGTTGGTGTATTCAAGAGAAAGTGCTTTCTCATCCATCTGTTGGGGTCTTTCTACCCCATTGTGGCTGGAATTCTACCCTTGAAAGCATATACGCTGGTGTGCCTATGATTTGTTGGCCTTTCTTTGCTAAACAACAGACAAATTCCAGGTATGTATGCGAAATTTGGGAGATAGGAATGGAAATTAGACAAAAAATCTGCAGAGTGGAAGGAGAAAGCAGTACGAGCCACTGTAATTGGAGGGTCTTCGTACAACTTCCAGAAGTTAATGAAAGAGGTTTTTCACCAGAATATTTGAGTCGTGTCAATTGAGATGTAATTCAAATAATTGCAGAATTATATTGATGGATACTTTTAAAATCCTACCGTCTTACATGCATCTAATCATAATGAAATTTTAAAAGAACTATATGATCATATTTTTCTTTTAAATTATTCTACAAGACAATCATTTTTTTTTTACAATAAGATATTCAATTTTAAATTCTTGACGAAGACAGTAATTAAGAAAAATAATAGTTTTAGTTTTATCTTTAGATGTTTTATTTTTTTTTAATGGTATCACCAAAACTCATTGCATTTTAGTGTATTTCAGTATTTAAGATTTAAGATTTTTTTTTAATAATATCAAATATAAATTCAAGTTTTACAAAATTTAAACAATAATAATAATTATTATTTAGTCTGGTAACAAAAGATCAATTAAAAAAATAAATAATCTTATTTAAGTACCAAACTATTTTTTAAATCATCTAATATATATTATTATTAAGTTTTACAAAATTTTAAATAATAATAATAATAATAATAATAATAATTATTATTATTATTATTTTTAGATGATTTGCATTAAAAGTATGATACACCTTAATTTAAAATTAATAAAATAGAAGATATTTATAAAAGTGATAAGAAAATTACATGAAATATTATAAATATTTATTTATACACTTATATTTATTCTATGATAAAAAAAAGATAATCATTATAAGAAAAGTTAGATTTTTTGACCGATAAAGTTTGTTGGTAATTAAGACAATTCGATCGGTAATTGTATTGTTGGTAAAATTTATCAACGGATATTTTTTAGTCTGTCGGTATCTATCGACGGATATATAAATGAAAAAATATCGTGGATAATTAATTACTGACGAGATATTTCCATGATTAAAGTTTAGTAATGGTTGTTTTTAAAAGACTTACAACGAATATATCCGTCAATAATTATCAAGTCCTCAAACCAATCACTGATGGATTATAAATGATCCTAAATTTTGAAAAATTTAAATGAAAAAGCTATATTGAGAAAGATTGTGTAAAATAAAAAATCTTTCAACATATTAAAGGTAAATTCAAAGAAATTATGTAATAAAAAATTTTCAAAAATAATTGTTTTATGCATAACATTGAATAACTACGATAGAAGATAATACATAACACATTTGTATAATTTGCAACAATAACAAAACAAAACAAAATAGATTAGTATAATAATCTATAAAATTGATAAATGGCATGAAAAAAAGGTAAATCTATTTTGGATATTGTAAATTTATAGTAATAATACATATCACTCAATGAGCAATGAAAAATTATAATTAGTATATTAGTTATATCATGGTCAATAAACAGACCAATTGTATAATTTCATGATCATTGAATGAACATAATTTGTTAGTGATAATCAACATCATAAATTTGCATTTTCATAGACTAAATACTTAAAAAATTATAACAAATAAATGAAGTACATATGTAACTTTTGATATTATAGTGTCCATGATTTTACATTTCCTTCTTCATCCAATATAAGTATCTTCAATCGTTTCTTTGTTTTGACTCTGGAAATGACCACATAGAATTGACCATGAGTGAATACTAAACACAGAAGATAAAGTCCAACTTTAGACAATGATTTACCTTGACTCTTATTAATTATCATTGCAAAACACAATGATAATGAAAATTGTCTTCTTTGAAACTTGAAAGGAAATTCAGGATCAGAAGGAATCAAATTCATTCTTGGTAGAAAGATTTTATCTCCAATGTTTTTTCAAGTAGCTTTCCCAAATCATTCACTTGCAATATTGTTTTGTTACATAAACTATTTTCTTGATCAATGTTTTTTAACAACATTACAGGAATACCAACTTTTAATTTGAGCTAATGACTTGGAATACCTGAACATTTAATGTCATTAAGAAATTTAGATGTAAACCATTTACCTTGCATTTCTTGATTCATCTAATTGGCATGGTGTATCAGAACTCAAGAATGTATTTTCTTGACCAGGTATCCAAGATAAAATAAAATCATTAACTTCCTTAATTGAATCAATAGTAGGACAAAGTATGGATCCATCATCAAAATTACTAGCAGGCATCATGTTATGTACAAAATGAGGATAGGAAAAATTAACAATTGAAAGTAAAGGTGTTTCATTGTCTTCAATTAAAAGAATCTTTGGGTATGCCAATATGTCCTTCACCATTTTTGTTCAAAGGCATATCTCCATCTCCAATCTTTAATATCCAATCAGCAAATTCTTTTATATCTTTTGAACTTTCATTTGTTTTTGCATATTTATCCTCATATTCTTTGTAAGCTTTAGAACTTTTCAAGTTGTTCATGTTTCAAAATAATTTATAAATGACTTCACCATATCATGTCTTGGTCCCTTTCTAGGAATAGGAAAAATTTGCCTAAAATCACCTCTCAACACAACAACTTCACCACCAAATGGTTTATCATGATTCTCTATATTTGTTGCTTTCATAATATCCCTCAAGGTTCGATAAAATGGTTTAAAGCATAATCTATTCATCACTAGAGCCTCATCCCATATAATCAATTTTGTTTCCATCAAAAGTTTAATTCAAACACATCCTTGAGGTATATTGCAAGTTGATTCCTCATTAATTAATAATGGTATGCATAATGTCGAATGGGTTGTCTTACCTCTAGGAAGAAACAAAGAAGCAATTCCACTTGAAGTCACATTAGGAACAATCATTTTGTTAGACCTAATAGTAGCTGACAAAGTTTTCCAGGGGAATGTCTTACATTACCATTATATCCATACAAAATGAAAAATCCTCCTTTTTTCTGAGAATACAATTGTCATGATCTCTTCATAAATACGTAATTTCTCATGAGTCAATGATTGGAACAATATTGCATGTACTTTATTCATTTCCTCCTTATCATAACCCAACTCATCAATAATAAACTTATTTTCAAATATGAATGAATATGAAAAGTCAGGTTGAGGTAAACAATTATAATCTTTTAAAGACATACCAATCGACATAAGCAATTCATTTACTTGCGAGAGACAAAGATTATGGAATACGAATTCTTCAATTTGAAAACTTGCATTGGAAAATAACATAACATGATAAACAATCAAATAAGTGATTAAAACTTACAAATAATAATAAAAAAAATAACTAGTAGGTATAAGTCCTTTCTTTTTTGGTATAAAATATCATCTGCCAACAATTTTCATGTAGAATTTCAAATAACATCTAGTTTAGACATTGTGTGTATCACTGATAATGTAACAAACAACTTTCTCAATTGATTTCCAAAAGCAAGTTTACTTGCTTCATTATTGCATCAATGAATTCTCTATCATTTGCCAATAGTCCCAAAGAAAAACAAGCATCTTGATAAGTTTGGTAAGTTATTCTATTAACTACCTTTATGTTATCATGATTAACGCATCCTTTTTGTATTGTTAAAAATATTCTCATATAGTATAACTCACTAGAACCTGGAGGAACATAAGTAAGTCATCCATTATTATATATCCTTGCTTTCTTTATTTCCATTCTCTCTATTGAGGCATTCAAACCAAACTTACTTGGAAATTCAACATGAGTTAGGTTATTTTCATCAACAAATCTTTTATTAGCCTCAAACAAAGTCATGAACATTATGTGAACATCTTCATTAGAATTCAAGATGGCATGAATATGGTCATCATCTTTAAAAAAATTGATTATTGACTTATGAGATGAAAAGTCAATCTTTGCACATATGGCCAGCTATGATAAATATCAAACCCAAAAATTCTCCAAACTACCTCAAATGGTGATAAGTATCTACAAACATGGTATCTTTTAATTTCATCAACAACGTCTGATTCAATAGAATCTGCAGAGCTACTACTAATGTTAATGCTAGCTCTATCTGGTCCTTTGTTAGCATATTTAAATAAATACTTAACTAAATTTAACTTGTTACAATATTCAGTATTAACATGAGTATTAACATGAGCTTGATACCTTATCAAAAGAAGTAGACTATAAGGAACAACTCTACAAGTATCTAGTATAAGTCCATTCTTTCTAAAAAATATGCCATTATCTTGACATTTATAAGATGGATATCCATCTTCATCTATAGTAGTTGAAGATGTAAATTTCTTAGGATAATATTTTAAACATCTACCTTCTTTCGCGCAAGGTGAATTAAATTTTGCAGCTCCACATGAACCATGGATCGTGAACTTGCAACCATGCTAGAAATTTTTGGATATAAATCTGAATGAGGTAATTCATCAGAGATTACTTTATCAATGTCCTTTCCATTATTCAATTTGTTTTCACTATCTAACCACAATAAGATGTGAGCATGTGGATGTCTTCTTTCTCAGAATTACACAGTGTACATTCCTAACATCAAAATAAATAGGAAATAAGATATAAAATTATTATTATTTATATTTATAATATGCAGTAATGGATTGCACAAAACCTGCATTGACTTTTCTATAGAAGTTATCTTTCTTGAAATTTGACATCATTTGATTCAACTTCATTTTGGAAACTCGACAAACAATGTCAGGTCTATCTACAATGGTTAAACCTCTTGCATGAACAAAATCATGTATTTCACTCCATTTTAAATTACATGTGATCATTATAAATAAACTTGGGTCCAAATCTTTTACAATAGTCGTAGCATCTTGACAATTATTAATCATGTATCTCATACCATCGGTAAATGATGTAAGTAGAACCACACGTTTGACAATTAAAGAAGGATAAGTCTCACTTCTTCTAACTGCTTCTTGTAATCAGTTAAGAAGATCACAACAAATTAATTTTTGATTTTCTCGTATGAATGAAAATCTTTAAGCTTTAATCAGAGTATAACAATCAACACAGAATTGTTGAAATGATCTACGCGCCATGAAAATGTTACCTACCAAATTCAACAACTATCTATTGAATTCTAAATACAATAAATTCCCTTTAAGGAATACCAAATCTTTTACGCATTTGAGTACAG